GATCCCAGGACCCTGGGATCATGACCTGAGCCGAAGGCAGACGCTTAACGACTGAGCCACCCAGGCGCCCCTGGACTGTCTTATTTATTAATAGATCTAAAGTACTTTCCTAAATATTAACGTTTTAAGCCTCTAATTTGTCCTTTAAACTGAGGTGATCGCTTACTTGTTGCTCTTCTGCTGATCTCCTTCCCTTGTCATTCACCAGAAAGGAAAGAAGTGTCCAGATTCTGCTTTATGTCTGTGTTGCTGACTGAACAGTGATGTGGAGAGAGGGTCTGCTATGCACATACACATTAGGCTGTTTCTCTTAGGGACAGCATGTGTAGGATTGAAAAAGCAGGGGTTGGGGCCATACCTGGTTTTTACCTTCTGGATAGTCATCTGGCTTGTGGGGAATATATATACTTATGTAGTCTCTCTCAAGGAAATTGGAAGAGTTGGCCTCCTTAATCTTATTATTTTTACAGAATAGAAGTCAAGCACAATCCTGGGAGGAGGAAGCAACTTAAAAAAAAAATACTCCCCTTATTCATGGTTCACTTAAGCAAGGGCTCTCTGTGGTTTTAACACATTTGGATAGATCTACAGAATTTCTGCTCTTATAATGAGCTAGGTTTAGAAAGATATTCTTGTAGCTTTGAAGGCAGAGTTTTGTTATTCTTAGCAGTTCACAGCAAGAGGGTCCAAAGTTGGCTTGGGTTTAGAGACGCTAAAGAAGTTTCAGAGGTTTCACACTTTTTTTTTAAAGGTTTTATTTATTTATTTGACAGAGACACAGTGAGAGAAAGGGAACAGGAGCAGGGGGAGTGGGAGAGGGAGAAGCAGACTCCCCGCTGAGCAGGGAGCCCGATGCGGGGCTCGATCCCAGGACCCTGAGATCATGATCTAAGCCGAAGGCAGACGCTTAATGACTGAGCCACTCAGGCGTCCCGTTTTCACACTTTCTTATTTTAACTCTTTTCATCTGAAGGATCATGGAGGTTTGTGTATGTGTGGTGTTGTAACATTGTGAAATAGACCAGAGTTGGTAGAGGAGAAAAATCTCCTGTTTCACAGGGCATTAGGGAAACATTCTGGTCATTTGTTTCTTGCTTCATGTCTTTTCCTTTGGTTAAGCTCCACTTTCTTCCTCCTCCTGAAGTTACCATAATGGGAACAGAAAGACTTCAGATTTAACTTGATATGTACTTAGGTTACATCTTACAAAATATAAGTTTCTTAAATACACATGATTCTTGATTTTGAAATTAGAGTATGTTTTGTTTTTATGTTTTAGTCGGGGACCCTCCTCATGAAAAAGGTCTGCCTAACCTTATCCCAGACAGTAGCAGTAGATTTTCATTTGTGCTAAGGAAGCAAACAAATACATACAGAATACTCGAGGCTACTACCACCTCTCCACTGAGGGTGCCAGGAGCTGCTCTCCCTTTCTTAGGGTTTGCTGACACACGAATTTATACTCGCTATTCCTTTCTGTAGTCCTATCTCTGTTCTGACACCAGGGACTATCAAGTGTCTCATTCTCTCCAGGGTGAAAGCCTTTGGGGCTCACATTTACATAAATAGTTAGGTATATGACTCTGACATTGGGAAAATAGAAGTCATTTGCCTCTAACCTTGGTTTTCCAAATATATTTAATCCTTCAAACCTTCTGCTTGAATAAGAATGGATATTGCTTATAATCTGGTTATGACTTTTCAGTTTCTCCATGAGATACATATATGTACTTAGTGTGCTTTTTTGTGTTTTCTCTGGTAAATTGTTCAGTCCAATAATATTCCAGATGGACACACATCCCTTTAACTCATTAGGTAGTTATCAGAGGTTCCGAATTCTGAGAATAAGTTAAATGATATTTGGAAATGAACAGTATTTTGTGTTATATCTTAAGTGCTCGAGGATGATGGGAAACTCCCAATAATGATACGGTGGTGTTAGATATTATTAGAGAACCAAAGTTACAAATAAGAAATACTTATTAATGTTATGAAAAGAGTGAAAGAATCCAAACTACTGTTACTAATGGTTGTGCAGTCACTTTACAGATTAATTTACCTCCCAGGGTTTGTCATGTACAAAATTGTTACATGTCGTGTATAATTAATCAATATAGCCTTCTCTTCAAGCTATTGAATTGTTCTGGAGACCTATAAAATGGAAAGATGAAGATACATTCGTAGCAACCCCCTTCAGAGGTGTCTGTTTAAAACTGACTTTCAAAGCTCAACAAACCCATAGTTCTCCAAATACCTAATTATTTTTTCTAAAGAGCTAATGATGTTTAGAAGAGCTGCGTGTAGTCACGTTGTAAAAACATTCTTTATTCACTCCTTACTTGCCTTCTCTGCTTAACAATTCTTTAGTCTTATTCCTTTTAATTTTTAATAGCTTTCAGCAACCCCATATTAGAACCATTAAACTAATGTCTTAACATGTAATACATTTTTATATATAATGATTATATCCTAACTACAATGACATTATAGTCTTAAGTGATTCTTTGTCTCTAGCTTTTGTCAAGTAACCTGTAATGCTTTTGTGACTTACGTTTTCTTTTTTTGGATTTTATTATTTCCTCAGTTCTTGCTTTAGCTTCTGGTCCTGAACTGGGACAGCTGACATTTCTTGGCCTGGTGGGAATCATTGATCCTCCTAGAACTGGTGTGAAAGAAGCTGTTACAACACTCATTGCCTCAGGAGTATCGATAAAAATGATTACTGGAGACTCACAGGAGACTGCAGTTGCAATCGGTATAACTAGGCTGGTCCCCCCCCCGCCTTTTAATAGTTTTAAATTAATTGCAGTGCATAGCTTTGAACCATTAGATATAAAATGTATACGTATAATATTGACATTATACAATTAAAATGGACTCTTTTATTCATACTGTATATAAAAATGGGTAAAAATTTATTTTAGGTTAAAAAGTAGTTCTATTAATTGAAAATACATAACTATTAGGAAATCACATGTTTTATTCACAGAAGAATAGTTGATTATTTTTAACCTCATAATCCACTATGCTATTGGATAAAAGCACTAGATTATACACATGAAACATGAAATTTAGTTTTCCCTTTAAACATGAGGATAATTTTCAAAGCAGACTTTGATTTGTACCTGATTTGGAAGAAAATAGCTTGTGTCTATATTCTGTTATTACATCACGTATATGCTTATGTTGTTTGAATGCCATTTAAGAATACCCTAAGGAATATAACAGGAGAGACTCCTGGGTGGCTCAGTTGGTTAGGCATCTGACTCTTGATTTTGGGTCAGGTCATGATCTCAGGGTGATGGGATTGAGCCCCACATCAGGCTCTGTGCTGGGCATGGAGCCTGCTTGGGATTCTCGTTCTCCTTTTCCCTCTGCAAACCCCCCCCCCAATATATTTATGGGAAAAAAGGGCACCAAAAGGTAATCTGGAGTTTGTAAACTGTGTAAACTGTTGTGAACTGTGATTCATACTGATAAACAGTTTACTAAAGTCCATTAATTCTGATTTTATTACTGTGCGGAGAGACGGATAGGAGTTTCACACTTTATGTTATCTAAGAAGAATATGTCACCAGAAACATAACGTTGGGAAGATTATACCTAGAAAAGCTTTTCAACATCTATTTTCTTTTACATATAACTACATGATTACCACAGATCCACCACTGTTTTGTCTGGCTTTAGATTCTTTACTTAAAATGAATTCTGATCTTTATTAAAATTGAGCTACTAAGCAAAACCTGATTGGCCCTATATCAGTTCTTAGGTATGGTGGTGGGTTAAATTGTGAAAACTCTTTATTCTTAAATTTAAACAAAAATAAACAGAAAACCCCAGAATTTTTACTAATTCAAATAGGTTTGTCTTACTAGTAATTTGTCTTGTGATCTCTTGGTATAAAGACATTTTGTACTTAAGAATGGATAACAAATCATATTAAGTGAGCATTATGTTGACTGGCCTAGCAAGCAAAACTAATTTGTTCAATTATGTTTTCTCTCCCATTTCACTTTAGCTAGTCGTCTGGGATTGTATTCCAAAACTTCCCAGTCAGTCTCAGGAGAAGAAATAGATGCAATGGATGTCCAGCAGCTTTCACAAATAGTACCAAAGGTAGGCCTAAACTTAAAGCCTTTTAGATGGAAAGGCCTTATTCTAAGTGTTTATGAATTCTTCCAGTGTGTCCTATATTCCTAGTGATAAAAGTGGACCTTCTGTTTTCTTCTTTATTTTTTTATAGTAGTACCTCCAATTGTATTTCTACCAAACCTATTAACCAAATCTCTATAATTTAATCCCAGTCTGTGTGCTGTTTAATTTTTGGTTGGTTGTAAATATTTTATTTCAGTTACCTATTTTTTTTTTTTTTTCCCTGAAATGCATCAGGTATCTTATTATCTTTCCTGGAAGATTGGGGAAACTGTAGCAGGTTATTTTAATGCCAGGAACGTTTTTCATTAACCTCTCCTTTAATATTTTCCTGTTTTCTTCTTTTTAACACCCTTGTCTATCAGAACTCTGAGTGCTAACCACAAATATGACACTGAAAAGAAGGCATGATAAGAGACAAATACATAGATTTTCCTCCCTCCTTTTGATGATTTTCATCTTTCCCATGTTATTCCCTAAACACTCTCCTTTTCTGACAAAGTTCTACTTCTTTTTTCACTGTCCTTTTACCATCCTGTCTTCATTCTGTCCTCTCCCCTCTTGCTCCCAAACTACAGAGATTTTATTGTGTGCTTTTACCTTTAATCAATATATTCTTTTTTTCTAGGTAGAGAAACATGATAAAGGTGAAAAGATTATGAATAGAGGAAATTCAGTTACCCCCAAATTTAATCCTAGCTCTCACTGTGATACAGTAATGTAGCTCAATCTTTAGTCCTTTCTGTTTTTTTGTTTGTTTGTTTTAAATCTCATTTCTTTAGGCCATAATTTTGTGTCACTAAATTTAGTGTTTTTAGTCAACTAAAAAGATTGACCTGCCCTTCTGATGCTTTAAGAACAGATTTTACTCTGTACCACATGCAAAACATCAAGTGAGTCTTCAGTTTTGCATTGAGATCTCCTTAGTCTCAAAACTGCTGCTCTAATTTTTGAGCTGCCACCAAAGCTTTGAAACGCTAAAAATCTTACATCAAATGGTAGGTATATGGATGCATGTCAAGTAATTTGTTCCTTTACAAAAGAAATACGCTTTCAGTCCAACAGTTGGCATCTTCACTGCCATTGTCAGTGATAACCTTCAGTGACTATAATGGAATGATTTGCAGTGTTTCAAATGATCTGCAGTGGAACAAAGGCAAAATTTTACTCTGTTCAACCTGAGTATATTGGTAGTTAGCCTTTTATTTAAATATTCTGTAAAATCCGCAGTCTTTGCTAAACACTCTTGTACTTCAGCACTGTGTGCTACATGATTAATTTATGCAGTAATGTAGAATTTTCACTTAGAAGACAACTAGTATACTTTCAATGCATATGTAGTTTAGTCCTTTTTAAAGACACACTGAAGAGTCTGAGTGAATTTTTGAACTTTTTTTAAAAGGAAGTATATTCTCCAAATACGAATTATGTGATTCATAGTACCTAGAGGACCTAGGCATATGTAATAATGTGATATTGCAGTTAAATTGAGTCTTTTGCTTAAGAAAATAATCCTCATTTGTTTTAGACCTTTATTAAAATTGGGAAGGAGCCTCAGAACAGTCTATATGATGGTACTAAGAGTCGTTCAATGATTTATTAATTCATTTTGTATGTATTTATGGAAGACTGAAGGTATAGGACAAAAATCTCTGCCTTCAATGGAACTTATAGTCTAAGATAAGTAAATATGTACATTATGTCAGATAAGTGCTAATGAGCACCAACAAAAGCAGAGAAGAGAGAGTGGAATGATTGAAGAGGTAGATTAAAATTTTTAGATAACATGACTAGGAAAGGCCTCACTGGCAGGCCATATCATATCTGAGAAAAGAGCACTCCAGACCAAGGGAACACAAAGGCAAAGACCTTAAGGTGAGTGTGCATGGCATGTTTCAGGAACAATGAGGAGGCTGGTGTAGGTGTAGTTCGGGTAACTAATGAGGAGGAAGGGGCATGCAGTTCATGCAGGACTTGGTAGGTAGTAACAGACTTTGGCATTCATTCTGAGGGAGATAGGAAGTCATTGGAGGGTTTTGAGCAGAGGATGGATGTGATCTGACTTCTATTTTAATAGTTTCATTATGGTCACTGTGTTGAGAAGAGACTGCAGGAGGCAAGGGCAGAAATAAATCAGTTCAGGTATTGGCCCAGAGTGTTGGCAGTGGGCTTAGAGGAAGGTGGTTGAATTCTGGATTTATTTGAGGTTGGAGCCAATGAGATTTGCTGTTAAGCTTCTTGTGGCTTCTGAGAGAAAAGGAGGAATCAAGGATGACTCCCCAAATTTAGAGCCTGAGTGACTACGAGGATGTACTTACCATTAGCAGAGGATATGAAGGAGCATGTATTTTGGGAAATAACGGGTTCACTTTGTGATATTTTTAAGTCTTAGATGAGACATCCAAGAGGAAATGTGGAATAGGTAGGTGGATTAATTTCATTGGTCTGGATTTTAGAAGAGCTATTGGGGCTGGAGACAAAAATGCATAACAATAAAATCTAAATCTGTAAGGCTGGATGAGATCACCTAGGAGAAGTAGGGGATTCTTAGACCTCTTATAGAGGGACCTTTAAGAACTAAGTGGTGGAATATTTCAGCATTCAGACTTCAGGGAGGTCGGGAAGAACCTCTACAAGAGGAGCAGCCAGAAAGGTAGGAGGAAGGAAGACCAAAAGAGTATAGGGTGGTCATGGAAGTCAAGCAAAGAAAGTGTTTCAGGAGGAGGGAATTGCCAGCTCTGTTAGGGTGCTGCTGAGAGGTTAAGTCAGAAGAGAAATGACCATTGGTGTTAGCAATGTGGGTGGTCTTTGGTAATCTTGAATAGGGGTTTCAGGGCAGTGGTGGGGATGGATTCAAGAAAGAATGAGAGAGAGAAATGGGAGACTGCAAGTACAGAGGAGTTTTGCTATGAAGAGAAGGGGAAAAGTAGGGTGGCAGCCAAAATGAGAAGGGAAATTTTTAGTTTTGTTTTTATTTAAATGGAAAAAATCACAGCATGTTATATACTGTTGGGAAAGATGCATCAGCAAGGAAAAGATTTTGATATAAGAGGGGGGAGAATTTCTGGAGCAATGATCTTAAATAGGTCCAAAGGTGGAATATTTGACCTGCACTAGGAGCATATTCAGTTCATCTGTAATAAAACGAGAGAAGGCAAGGATTGTGCTTGGATACAGGTACTGGTTGGTGGGAATTATGGAAGTTCTCTTCTGTTTTCTTTGAAGTGGGAAGCAAGGTTGTCAGCTGGGACTGAGGTTGGAAATGGGGATAAATTGAAAGTATGAGGAGAGAAAACTTAGTATGAACTAATCCTCTAGGACAGTAGAGAAGAGAATGATGTATTATGCAGATATTAAAATCACCATGACTTAGAAGTGTTGTTGGAAAGAGTGACAGTGAGGAGGAAATTAAATAAGTCACAGGGATGAAAAGTACAGCATAAAGAAAATAGTCAATAGTATTATAATAATGTTGTATGGTGACAGATGGTAACTACACATATCATGGTGAACATTGTGTAATGTACAAAACTGTTGAATCACTCTGTTGTACACATGAAACTAATACAATGTCACATTCGTTTAAAAAAATCTGAAAAAAATTTTGTGAAATGTGGGGAAGTGACCTAGAGCAGTGAATGAATGCCTATAGTTAGTGGGAAGTCTGGTCTCATGTGACATTCAAAACTGGGGTTTTGTGAATAAAGAAAGGAGAATCAAGGACACCTACCCCTGTCTAGGCTCTCCTGGTGGTGGTACTATGTGAAGGACTGTAGGGATGGCCTTGGTTTGTGAAAAATGAGGTTAGAACAATGTGGAAAAGTGGAGGATACAGGGGATGTTGTAGATGCCTGCCTTTGGGGCACAGTGAAGGGGTATTAGGAGACCAGGAGATGGGATCAGAAAAGGGGATTAAATGCATGGTTTGGAGAGATAAGTCATATAAACTGTTGGAGATACAGTAGAAGAGAATCTAAAGAATTAACACGAATATTAAAAGAGAAGGAACAGACAGTTAACACTCTTTAAAAACAACAACAATAAAAAGGTTCTACAGACATTGAGAAGCAGCTGTTCTTTATCTTTCCTGAAGACAGAACAAAGGGAGAGGCCATTTTTGTTGTTTGCCAGTGTAATGAAGAAATAGATGCAAGAGAGTTTTTCCTTTCTTTGTCTCTGAAACATTTCAAGAATAAGGCTGTTTTCTCTTCAGAACTTAAACATAATGGGATAAATTGGATAACATGTTTAGATTGTGTATTTCCTGTGGTACCACTGGAAAGTTTGAAGTGACCATGTCAAATGAATATCTTAACAGACACATGGTATATTGCTTAAACTTGATCTCTACAAAGTAAGTACAGTAATTTAAAAAATTATTGTTACAAGTGCATGGGTTATTCTGATATTTCTTATTGTTGAAGATTTTTAGTGTATCCTGTATTTTAACAGGTTGCAGTATTTTACAGAGCTAGTCCGAGGCACAAGATGAAAATTATTAAGGTGGGTCTTTAAGATTCACATTGTTTTATGTCTATCTCCAAAATGCTACTTTACGTCTTTCATTATGCTTACATTACTAGGAATATTGGTGTAATATTAAAGTCGGAAGTATTGTGAAGCAAAAGAGATTTTTTTTTTATAGAACTTTACATGGAAGTATTAATAGAGAATTTAATTAGCAAAGGAAGATGTAGAAGAAAATGTTAATGAGATATCTGCAACACAACCTTCTTTAAACAATTGAACAGTGTAGACATATGTTCTGACAGGAGTCCATAGCCAAATCATCCCAGTGTAAATAGCAGTAATTGCTTAGAAACTGAGTAAATACAGCAAGAAAAGGAAATGTTATGAGAGTGGGAACAGTATTTCAAAGGTTTTGGTTATTTATATTAATCAGTTAAATATATACAAAGCAACTGACGTAGTATCCATTAGTTAAAGGGCTTAATCACAGTAGTCCTCCATTGTATTAGTTTAGAGTTTCTCAACCTTCACAACTATTGACATTTTGACATTTTGGACTGGATTCTTTGTTGTGAGGGGCTGTCCTATGTGTTGTAGGATGTTTAGCAGCATCCCTGACCCCTACCCTCTAGATGCCAGTAGCATTCCCTAAGTCATAATAATAAAAAATATCGCCAGACATTGCCTGATGTCCCCTACAAAGCAAAATTGCCCCTGAGAGCTACTGTATAATTAACTCGAGATCAGTCTTTAGACATAGCTCTTACACATGAGAATATTAATAGCAACTTTTTCTAAGCTTTATCTTAAGACCTCCATATATTGAAGTTTGTTGCAAAATCAGTGGTCTGTATTCTTTCCAATCTTTATTATGTGAAAAAAAATAGAGAGGAGTTGTTTATCCCCTTATCTTTGTGGAAGCAATATTTTTACCAGAATCCCCTTTTCCCCCATTCCAGTCTCTACAAAAGAATGGGTCGGTTGTAGCCATGACGGGAGATGGAGTCAATGATGCAGTTGCTCTGAAGGCTGCAGACATTGGAGTTGCAATGGGTCAGACTGGCACAGATGTTTGCAAAGAGGCAGCAGACATGATCCTCGTGGATGATGATTTTCAAACCATAATGTAAGTTTTGTTTCAGTGAATGTACATCAGAGAATCTTTTCCTGTCTTTTTCTGCACCCCATCTCCAGACAGTTCAACTGGAAAAGAATTGGGATATTCAGTGTATTAGGATATTCAGCAGTGGATGAACTAAACTATTTTACCAGAATTAATTAATCTTATTTATGGCCTACCGTGTAGTTTTGGAGAATATTATTTGTATGGAAAGGACATAATAAATGGCAAAGTCATTCATTTAACAAATATTTATCGAGTGCAGCCAGATGTCACATTTTTCTGGCCACCAGTGGAGTGGTACAGCAGTAAACCTTCATGGGGCCTTTATTCTAGTTGAACTCAGGCTATCAGAAATATGCATGTGCATGGCCTTACAGTAAGTATAAAAATAGTCAAGTTTCCATCCATACTATGTATTTCCTTATGTCTGTAATTGTCCCATGCTGTCAGTGATACAAGCTACTAAGTTTAAATAGCTTTGTCTCCTTCCGCCACTGTTTCTGATTGATGTAAGATTCTTCTGTGATTACATGGTCATGTCAGTAGTAGTTCAGGTGGGGGGTCACTTGAATCTTGTTATTTGATAAGCACGTGTCTGATAACCTGGGTCTTCCTCAGTTCAGTGACTCATGCTGATTACATGCCTGGCATACTTCATTAACCCATGGTGGCCTAAAGTGGAGCATGTGGGAGCTCAGGACTCAGAATTGCCATGGTCTTGTAGGCATATAAGTTTTTTGCTTTCCATTCTTAGAATTATATAGAAATCTTGAGAGAAAGGGGAAGTTGTTTAAAAAACACGTATTTTCTAGATTCAACCAGATGAGAATTTATTTTTATGTTTATTTTTTAAAGATTTTATTTATTTGTTTGAGAGAGAGAGAGAGCATGAACAGCAGGGAGGGGCAGAGGGAGGGGGAGAAGCAAACTCCCTGCTGAGCAAGGAGCCTGCCCCCCGGACTCGATCCCAGGACTCGATCCCAGGACTCTGGGTTTATGATCTGAGCTGAAGGCAGATGCATAACCGACTGAGCCACTCAGGTCCCCCAAATGAGAATTTAAATGAATTTTTGTAAACCATATTCTTTATGTAATTCTGCTACAGCACATATCTGATTGTAGTGTTAAGCAATAGATAGCTTAAACTCCAGAGCTCATATATATCTTATTACCATTTAATTCCTGACATACATTAATTTAACCCCTTACCATGCATGCATTTTGTACCTTTTAGAAAAAGAAAATTGGAGGGGTAAAGAAGATCATTATTTTAGTATTATAAATGTGTAGTATTATCTGTTGTGTAGAAAGAGTGTATGATTTTAATGTTGAAATATCTTTAAGAATTTTAATATAGTGTAATGAAATTAGTTCAGATAGAGCTTCACAGGCTTGGCTTTCATTCCATACCAGAATGTTTTTGTATTTTTTTCTAATCTTAATTATGTTAAGAAAATAATAGATTCTTTTAGTGATGTATATGTTATATCAGTTGGAAATTTGTTTTCAGAATTAGCTCTACAGTGTTATAGGATAGATCTTTATTTTTGTGTGATAATATTTCTCATTTAATTTTTTTTAAAATTTCAGGTCTGCAATTGAAGAGGGTAAAGGGATTTATAATAACATTAAAAATTTTGTTAGATTCCAACTGAGCACGTAAGTTTGTAAGAAGTTTGTCACCATGGGTCTTATAGATAAATTATATGAGAAATAGAATTCAAGCAGAATGCTTAGAAGCTTCTGAGCTCTATTTCTGAATGTTGTTCATATGTTAGTTTTCCATAATGAAAATTAATTCTATCCTAAAATTAAAAATGGCATGATAAAGAGATGATGTCTGTATCATCATCAAAATATATAAATGTTTGTAGTTTATTTACTAGCTCCAGAAATAACTAAGGAAGGAGTGTCAGATCTTAGTGTGTTTCCTTGGTGTCTTTTTCCAAAAGTAGAAGGGCTTTTCTGTAGTCAAAAAACATTTGCCAAAATATTGTTGAAACTGTTAACTGTTATGTAGTAACAGCTATTCTGAACTCAGTTTTTAAAACCTTCCTCTGTTTGTTGTTATCTAAACATCTTGAAATCCTTTATTTAAATGCTACGGATTATAAAGTTTAACTTTTAGCGTCAAAATTTTCACACAAATGAAGCATAGATACTCATAAATACAGACTTCCTTTAAAAACACAGTAGTAAAATGAGATTTTCAAACGCTAAAGAAGTGATATCATAAAAGTAGTAAGAATTATAATATATAAAAGTAGTAAGAATTATATAAAAGATACATTATCTTTTTTTCAACAGGAGTATAGCAGCATTAACTTTAATCTCATTGGCTACATTAATGAACTTTCCTAATCCTCTCAATGCCATGCAGATTTTGTGGATCAATATAATTATGGATGGACCTCCAGCTCAGAGGTAAGAGTTTTTTTTATCCATAAACTAGTAGAAGGACAAAGAAAGTGTGATATCTTGATGATTAAGTTTTATGATTTCATTCATGGATAGCACTAGAAATCTATTCATGCAGCGACATGTTTGTTATAAATTGTGTGATGGCTGTGTATATCATTTATGCTCTTTGGGTGTTTTTTCACGTGTCATAGATCTAAGCTTTTACGTTATGTTAGATGCCCATTCATAAGTTGAGAACAGATGAGGGAATGAATAGGTGCAGTCCCTGTCCTCAGGAAATAAGCTTTTGTCTCTAAGAATGGAATGTAATGGAGAAATCCTGAGTTTAGTTTTATTATCTGGGTTCTGTTGTCAATTTTAGAGACTTTGGAAAAGTATTGGAGGATCTAAGCATCTAAGTATTTTCTTCTGTAATGGGCCATAGATGTTGCTTTCCAGCAGAAAGAGTAATTGAGTGATATATGTCAATGGTCATTATAACAAATCATCCTAGTCAAAACCTCCTTGCATGAAAGGTATTTCAGAGTTTACTCAGTAGGTTACTATTTCAGGCCATATTTGAAATAAGTAAACTTACATGTAAATGAAATTGGACAATTTTTTTCAATTTGACCATCAGTCTCCCATCAAACTATGCCAAGTAGGAGTAACAAGGGAAGAGTAATAAAATCCATGGTTATTTTCGAGTATTTATAGCCAACCTTTTCTTTAGGATTCAGCATTTTGTTTCCATAAGAAAGCATTTAATTTCCTGGATAATTGAGGTTAATGAGATTGTAAAAGTAACAAATCCAAACCTTAAAACTTTAAAGTAATTCACTTTTCTATTTGTTTTGAAGCCTTGGAGTAGAGCCAGTGGATAAAGATGTCATTCGTAAACCTCCACGCAACTGGAAGGACAGCATTTTGACCAAAAACCTGATACTTAAAATACTTGTTTCATCAATAATCATTGTTTGTGGAACTTTGTTTGTCTTCTGGCGGGAGGTATAGTCACTGGATAAGCTGCCTTAATAGCATGCATTCTGTATGACCCAGTTATTTTGGTGTGTTACATGGAAGCTTGGAAAGTTAGGAGAGCTCATTGGAAAATATGATAATAAAAACATTTAAAAATAGTTTGATTTCAGTCTTTATGGGTTAAAAGAATTGCTGATTCATTTATTAGAATAGTTTAAATCTGCAAAGATATCAGCACAATAAAAATTAATATATTAATATTCATATTTGGGGAGTAATTAGAAAATCTGAGTCTATTGCTACTTTATTTCATCAGAAAAGAAAGTTGTTTTAATATCCAATATATGGTGTGTGAGAAGACTACTTTATTTAGATTATAGCTATTCATTAGTGACTTATTTAAATGGCGTATAGGAAATTTACGTAGCTTATATGTTTTATGTCTTAGGCTAAAGCTGTTTTATTCTAAAGCAAAGAAAATGTTAACCTTTTACAAGCATGCAGTATTTGTTCATTAAATTCAGCCACTGATAATCATTTTTCTTCTTGATAGCTACGAGACAATGTGATAACACCTCGAGACACGACAATGACCTTCACATGCTTTGTGTTTTTCGATATGTTCAATGCACTAAGTTCCAGATCCCAGGTATGCTTAGGTGATCTTAGCTGACTGATTCAATTGATAGAGTTCTCTCTGATTGTAAGTAGGCAAGGATTGTGGGGTTTTAGCTTTGCTTGATTTTGTCATCACAGATTACAGCCCCAGATACAGCCTTCCCTATAAATGTGTACCTACAAACGTGTCATAATGGGGATAGGGCATTTGGGCAAATAGCTTTACCTTTGACCAGAAGATCCAGTCATCGCCTGGTCTTTCTTCTTTCCATTCTCTTACATCTGTAGCTTTAAGATAGGTTCAAGTTAATATTATCTGAGAGTATTGGACAAATGGGTTCTGTTAAGTTGGTATTAGTCTCATTTTAGAAGAAAGTATTGTTAGAAGTACAAGAACAATTTTGTGCATATTAATGGTTTCTGATTATTTCTGTCAGTGTGTCAGAGCTTAGGACATTTTAAATTTGCTTTTCTTCCCATGTTGTATCTTAAGGTGTGATTGCCTTTTCTTGATTGAAGTGTTTTCATAGAAAATTAATGGGCTGTGGGCTAGAACCTAGTAGAACCTTTTCAGAGCACAATTGTTCTTGAAAAGTAGTTCCATTTTGAAGCCTGACTCTTCATTTCAATTCTAGAGCACCTTATAAATCCTCAATTATATCTATTACCATTTAGCATGCTGGAACTTTCTAAGTCAATGAATTGTCGTTAATTTAGACTAAGTTTTGGAGAGCTTACAATATTCATTTTTTGTTTTATGAAAGGCAATTTTACATTTTTAGTACACACTGAACTAGGTCTATTCTTTAAGAAAGGCTTTTAGATTATCTAACTTAATGGATAGAAATGATTTAGCAAAATAATCACACAAATGAAGTTTCCAATGTTTTGAAATGCTAAAGTTTCTTTTCATTCTGTGGTCTCTTGTTGATGTTGTTATTGTAGCATCACTCTTGTAGAGAAAGCTTTCTTGATAAAGAGAAACTGCTTTAGGGGCGCCTTGGTGGCTCAGCTGTTAAGCGTCTGCGTTCGGCTCAGGTCATGATCCCAGGGTCCTGGGATCGAGCCCCGCATCAGGCTCCATGCTCGGCGGGAAGCCTGCTTCTCCCTCTCCCACTCCCCCTGCTTGTGTTCCCTCTCTCGCTCTCTGTCAAAAAATAAATTAAAAAAAAAAAGAAGCTGCTTTAAATTGAACCTTTATTCCGTCTGAATTATTCCAAAATAATAGTCAAACCATTAAGAGATTTCATGGTATTGCCATTTTGGCATTCAATCCAGTTTATTAAAAATTGGAGATGACTATGATAATAAAGAAGCTGTTTCAGTGACCAAGGAATAATAATTGAACTCTTTGCTCTGCCAACAGACCAAGTCTGTATTTGAGATTGGACTCTGCAGTAATAAAATGTTTTGCTACGCAGTTCTTGGATCCATCATGGGACAGTTATTAGTTATTTACTTTCCTCCACTTCAGAAAGTTTTTCAGACTGAGAGCCTAAGTATACTGGGTAAAGAAAATGTTATCTTTTTATAATTTATATATTTTAGATGAATTATTATATTTTCCAATGCATTTGTTCTACTAAAAATTTCCTTTTAAAAAGTGAGATAAAAAAGTGAGTTGATTTGAAAAAGGAGTGTATTCTATTTTATCGTTTGGAGAAGTTTGCTGGGGTGGTCACTTGCTTAATGCTAGGCTTTAAAATTTTTTTGTAATTTTTTTTTTCTTGCAATATTTTTTTCTTGGTTATAGCTGTCAAATTGTTGTTGCTGATTCTAAACTATAGCAAATGAAAACGTGTTATAGAGTAATTATAGTTTATAACTGTTCAATCTTACATGAAGAAAAAACTAGATTTAAGCTCACTGAAAACCAGGTTGCTCTTCTTTAAAATTACAATTTCAGTAAACTAATATTTCAATATTTTTACTTGCTAATTTGTGCATTCTTATTTTACAAAATAACAGCCTGACCCTAAAAGCAGAAAATACATTAAGATTACATGGAAGATAGACATTGTTCTTTCACATACTATGTATTAAATGTATTATGATACATTTAAAAATTAATCTTCCTGTGTAAGGGTGAGGACCAATGTATTTTGTGGCAATGCTACTTTTAATTCTTGTGTTTTTAAGTTAATTGGGGTATTTGTGAAAATAAGTTATACAGCCTCACTGTATTTTATGCTGTGAGTTACAATTTACCTTAAAGTTGAAATAGTTTAATTTCAGTTTTTTAATTTCATATTTACACTTGTTCCTCTTTTTAAAAAGTGGGGTCTTAAGGAGACAGCTGCAATTTTTCAAGCAATGAGTAAGAATGAGATAGTGTGGATACTATTGTAAAGACATGGTCTTTATTTATTTTTAAATTGTAAAAAAAGGTTTTATTTATTTGAGAGAGAGCACGCATGCACACAAGTGGGGGAAGGGGCAAAGGGAGAGAATATCCAAGCAGACTCCCACTGAGCATGGAGCCTGACATGGGGCTTGATCTCACGACCCATGAGATCAGAACCTGAGCCGAAACCAAGAGTTGGACGCTTAACTGCCTGAGCCACCCAGGTACCCCAAAGACATGGTCTTTAAATGATGAGTTCTTCTAGGCTCTCGAATGGAATAGATAGAAATTCCTAAATAATCTTTAGATAGGCAGTTTACAATCAAATTAAAATTAAAAAGACTGTGTGATCTCTTAAATAGAAAACTCCTCTTGCTTGTGTTGCTGTTAATAGTTATGGTTATGAGGTTATGGTTCAGGGAGAGTAGTCAGAGCACTTGGGTTCTAGTTCTCTGGCACTGCCTTTTCTAGCTGTATGACTTCAGATAAGTCATTTTTGAGCCTTACTTCCCTCTTTTTTTTTTGAGTGGGCAGCAAAGCAAAATTTATTGAGCCATAGTATAAAGCTCCCGAAGAGAGAGGGGACCTGAGAGGGTTGCCCTCAACTTTCCTCATTTTTTAAACTAAGGCTGATTTTATGTACCTCCTGGAATGGTTGTAAAAGAGTGTTTTAAAAGCTCTGTTAAGATGCTAGGAAAATGCACCTGGGTGGCTCAGTCGTTAAGCGTCTGCCTTCGGCTCAGGTCATGATCCCAGGGTCCTGGGATCGAGCCCGACATCAGGCTCCCTGCTCAGCAGGAAGCCTGCTTCTCCCTCTCCCACTCCCCCCGCTGTGTCTCTCTCTGTCAAAAAAAAATAAATCTTAAAAAAACCCCAAGAAAATGCTAGAAAAATGTAAGCTTTAAGCTTTGCAACTGTTTCAAAGAATTGTAAAATGCAACTTATTTTCTCTTGCAGATCTGCTGTTTCTTGTGGGTCTCACCTCCTCAGTGTGCATAGTAGCCGAAATTATAAAGAAGGTTGAGAGGAGCAGGGAAAAGATCCAGAAGCATGTTAGTTCGACATCGTCGTCTTTTCTTGAAGTATGATGCATATTGCATTCTTTTATTTGCAAACTAGGAATTGCAGTCTGAGGATCATTTAGAAGGGCAAGTTCAAGAGGATAATGAAGATTTGAGAACTTTTAAACTTTTCATTGACTAGAAATGAGTGTTATGTTAAAGACTTGATTGGAGACTTTAACCTGCTGGCAGTCCCAAATGAAATTATGCAACTTTGATAACATATTTCTTGATTTAAATTGGCTTTTGAAATTGAGTGGAACTTTATAAAGCATATGGGCAGTTATTTAATTAAAAAAAAAAAAGCAAAACCTGAACCACCTTCTGCACTTAAAGAGGCCTAACAATACAACTACACTATCTATCTTAGATAGATATTAATTTTTTTTAATTTTTAAATATTGTACTATTTATGGTGGTGGGGCTTTCTTACTAATACACAAATAAATTCAATCATTTCAAAGGCATTCTATTGGTTTAGAAGTTGATTCCCAGGAGTGCCATATTTCAGCTACTGTATTTCCTTTTTCCTGCAATGTAAGCAGCTCAGACACCTTGTGTTACTGTTTTTGTATCAAGTTTTTTGCACAGGATGTGACCACTGTCAGATCACTGTTCTTTTCTTTCTTTTTGTGATTGAAAAGCCTATACTGCAATTTGAAGTAAATGTTTGCTTTTCTTAGTAAATGTAAATGGTTGCTTTTTTTTGTTTTTTGTTTTTGTTTTTTTTTAAGTTAAGAGTCTTTGGTCTAGCAAAATTAATACAGGGTTATCAAGTGGCATTCTAGGTAGAGTAGCCTTGTCTGTAATTAACAGTTAGTCATAGAATCAAAAGTATTTAAGAGTGATTGGGCTGAAATCTATAACAGATTATATGAACATGTTAATGCCTCTTTTTGAGTTAAATATAAATATATACTTTGTCAAGTATCATTTTGTCATCCCTTAAATATAAATCCAGTACCTCACCTGAATAACTGAATTTTATTTTTCTTAATGTCTTTCTGTGTATATTTTTAAGCATCTTTCTTCGGAAGTATAGAATACTATACTTGATAAAAAAGCCCCAAACTCAAATAGATGGTTTATGAACCAGGGTATACGGGAAGACTCTGTGCCGGCCTTTTCTCTTTGAGTATCTGCAGCTTCTTTGGCTTAGATTACAGCACTACCTTGAGCAGCGTGTACCTTCAGACTTCCACCATTTGTTCTCTGCCTTCTGTTGCATTGGGCATGCTAGAGAAATAGTTGGGTTTACTCTCATAGTCCCATCAGTTTTTATAATAGCTTGGTGAGGTGTAGGTAATTTTTTTTTTTAGTGTGTTGTGGCAAATTTGGGCCAGAAATTCAAAATTAGAAATCCATTTTTCTATTGAATATTTCTCTCTGAAACAGAAATGGGTTTCAAATTCTTAAATGTTTAATTCTTCTTGAAATTCATGAGTTTTGTATTTTATAATTATTCTCCATTTTTTAAACTGTCAGCATAAACCACCCTCTAGTTTTTATCACCAATATTAACCTGCCAGTGTTAACACTGAAATATTTTTATTAATGATAGGGAAAATATCTATTCTTTGAGTCCTTGTAATTGAAACAGTTGAGTATAAGGAGCTGAGATGTCTGAAATTTATTCTACTTTAGCCTTTAAGGCTTAATAGTCAAATGTACATTTTTCTTATTAGATAGAACATAGAAACCGTTGTCTAGTCAACTTTATCTTTAATGACGTGATGTCTCATACCTAAATTTTGTATGATTTTTTTTCTCTGTTACAAAGACTTGAAATATTAAGTGCATCTCAATCTTTTGCTTTCCATTTTAGGTTCAGAGTATGACTCGTATGAAATAAATGTGCCTATCCTTTGATTCGGTTTTTGAACCAAAAGAAAAAAATGATTTCTTTTCATAAGTTAATGACCTTGCAGTTAGGCCCGTTAACATTAAAATCTTATGGATGTAGAAGATACAGAAATTAGGCAGTACTCAAAGTGCACAGAATCTGTGATTTAAAAAGAAGTGACACGTATAGACAGTACAGATACACTATATCCAGGTTTCAATTTTCTGTAGTATAACAGCAAATTAGAATATTTGTATATATATCTTCCATAGTATATCATCCAAATTAGTATAGATACTTTAAATATGCTAGTATCTAAATTTTAAATTTTCACCCCACTCCCTAGCCCTAGACTTGCTAGAGTCCTAAATAATACTAACTTATTTGATTTTTCCCTGTTAGCCTACCTCCTGAAGTTATTTGGTCCCAAAGTGATTAAACATCTGGGAAGAAAAGAAAGGAACTTGAAATAATTCACCTAGGTAGATAATTCCCAGCTGCAGAGAAACAAGGCTTAGCATGTTCTCTCACATTTGTACTGGGCATAGCATGACCCAAAGATGAAACAAAGTGAAACCAGACAACCTAAAAAACCTCCCCCTTCAGGATACAGGCTTTATTTAATAGCAGTAACCACACTCAGAATGCTAAAACACATTTTTTACCTTTTACACCCATGCAGGGTACATCTTTCACATTGGTAGTCTTTCTGAAATCACTTAAATTTTAATCTCTTTTATATAGGACAAAGTGAGTATTGGCCATACTCAAAATAGTTTTTCAGTGAAAAGAATTGGTGGCAAACAATGTCATATCCAAGAACCTTAATTAACTTTACCTTGCTTTCTGCCTTTGTCACTTGGCAGTTCATGTGCATTGCCTGTGACTCAAGCAAAAACTTAGGTGGATGAATTGTCATTTCAGTAAACTTTTACTTAGTACCTGGAGTTAGCTAAGAATAAAAAGGTGATGGCATCCCTGCCTTTCAAGAGCTCATGGACAGGGTTAGCAGGGCATATAACTGTTAACAAGCTATTTCATGAAAGTTAGTAGTGGTCTTTGTACATTTATTTTAAAAATACACATACATTAAGATGAATCCAGCATACATTTTACTGGAAGTTTCCCTCGACACTGGCATTTGGGAATCTTTGAAATGCCTTTTTAGACTAAGCTACAGTCCAAACAGCTGATTTGCATACTGAAATGTGGTGTGGGTAAATACTCTAACTGGTATGTGACTGAACAATCAGATTATCCCCATAATTAAGCTTCCTTGAGCTCAGTTAGAATTCGGTATGAATGGGCGCCTGGGTGGCACAGTTGGTTAAGCGACTGCCTTCAGCTCAGGTCATGATCCTGGAGTCCCAGGATTGAGTCCTGCATCGGGCTCCCTGCTCGGCAGGGAGTCTGCTTCTCCCTCTGACCCTCCTCCCTCTCATGCT